GTCATTCGGCCATCTGTAACAAAACCATACACAAAAATATGGACAAAATATGTCAGCTACATAAAAACTCTATAAGCAGGGCAAACGTTTTCGGCAGATTTTCTACGCTGGGACAAAAAAAATGCATTGATATTTATTGCTGATTGAAGTGAAAATGCGCCTTCGCGGACATTAGTGGGAAGGTATATTTCTCCTACGTTTTATTTTTTAAAGTGTGGATCCGCTGAACTCTGCCCGCACTTTCATGCTAGGAGTTTTTTTTCACTGCTTCTTCCTTAGTTAACCATACTCTTCAGAGTGTTGACTATTATTTTAAAATGATGATATGTTGGCGGATATGAAACTATCTGCCTCCCATAATAAACACTTCCGCTGCCTATGTGGTTGCCCACAAAGAGCCGCATTTATCCCCTTCGTATGTATTTTTACGGCAGCATTAAGTCTGCAATGACGAGGCCCTCCGGGCCTAAAATAAAAAAATTATTTACTTATTTATACATGGCAATCAAGGGAACCAGGGGTTTTTTTGTCCCCACGTTTAGGAATCAAACAAGCTTCCATTTTCGGAGGTGGTATACGTACTGATGGTCACCACATTAATGGGTATTTTTAGCTAGGCACGTCGATGATCGCAAGGTCGCCTGTTCTCACTGCTCCACGGATTCATAGGTCAACGGAAGCCACACCAACTGACAGCACAAACGTGCGCGGACGGCCACCGGACGGCCAACGGATGCAAACTCAAGCGGAAGGGAGCAAGCGATGACGAACATAAGCCAACGAGACTCCCGACCGGATGTGACGCGAGCAAACGTCAGGAATGGACGACAGTGTCGGGGGTCGCCAGCCCGGCAGCAACCAAGACGTAAACACGAAGGTGACAGAGGGGGGGGATGCGAACACGGCAGGACAACGAGGTACGCATTGGGTGACCATACCAACGGGCAATACGAACACGATCAACAGCCGTTGTCACCCGGACGCCCTTTTGTGACGAGAAGACCCTCCCTCCTCGGGTGGCAGTGGTGACAGGCGACCCTGGGGTTATCGACGTGCCTACCTAAAATTACCAAAAAAGGCAACAGTAGCTTATGTAGCCCCATGCATTAATCCCTACAACCAGCACGTTTTCCTACGAAAATGATGTTTATCGGGTTTTATGGGCGGAGAATTAGGACAGGCAGTGGAGTGTACTTTAATAAATGCTAAATGCATTTTTATTTTACTGTAGTTAGAAGTGTTGTTAAGTTATGTATGTAGATTTCCCTAATCTGTATTATCGTTTAACTTATTGTGGAAAAACCTGATTATCAAATTGCAGGTTTCTTGAATTTCCCAAAAAATTGAAATGGTGGTGAGGAGATCATCCACTTCAACTTATCTGAGGTGCAAATTACCGTTATAGAGTTAGATTAGTATATTCCGCGGCGCGAAGCGCCGCGCACTCTCTC